ACTCACATTTTTTGTACCTTCACTCACAGTTTTTGTACTTTCACTCACATTTTTTGTACCTTCACTCACATTTTTTGTACCTTCACTCACATTTTTTGTACCTTCACTCACAGTTTTTGTACTTTCACTCACAGTTTTTGTACCTCCACTCACATTTTTTGTACCCTCTATGTTAAAAAAAAATTTCCTTTTGGAAGTATTTTTTTCTGCTTGTCTCCAGAGCTTTAAACAGAGCTTTTCTCCATCCTGGTTTGATTTTCTGCCATCTCCTCCTGCAAATGGCAGCAGGGCTGACCCCACTCACGGATTTATGATTAAAGAAGCACTTTGGGACACAGGACATGACAAACTTCAGGTTCCTAAAGCTGGTGCTCAGTGGCTGCTGCCCCCTGGCTCAGTCACAGCCCTCCACACTCTAAACATTCATTTAAAGAAAAGATTTCCCTTCAGAATTAGACCACAACCACTGACAGTGCAGCCAAAGCAGCTTTCATCAGATCATTACTTACATTAAGGAGGATTTAGTGCCAGATCAGGCCTCAGCCTGACAGGCCAGGGAGTCCCACCAAGCCCTGCTGGAAAGAATTTGCTCTTCCCACATCACTGGATTCATTTTTTAAGAATGAAGTATAGTATTTAGTATTTAGGACAAACACTCACACACCCCAAATACTGGATATTTAAATATTTAAATACAGATTTAAAGCATTCCTCCTCCAAGAACTGCTGAGTAAGGAATAAAGGAAATTTAAATTTTGCAGTAAGTGCAGCATAAAGTAGCAAAATTATTCAGGAAATACTTTGTATTTCTTATTTATTCTTAATCCAAGACCAGGTTGGACAGGGTTTGGAGCAACTTGGGATAGTGGGAAGTGTCCCTGAGCATGGCAGGGGGGTGGAATGAGATCAGCTTGAAATTCCCTCCCAACCCAACCATGCTATGATTCCATCCTGACCAAAAAGAACCCATCTCCAGCCCTCCTGTTAAAACCAGAAGCAAACAGAAAATGCCCTTCACACCCTCCCCATCACAGCAACCACTGGAGCAGGCTCACATGAGCAGCCTGGCACTGCCACCTTTGGAACTGACAGCAAACAAGGGCTTTGCAGATCGATCCCCATCACTGCACACGTCCTGCCCAAAGCAAACATTCACCCAGGCACAGCCCAGAGCGGGTCCAGAGGGATCCCAGACCCCTCCCACCCCCAGGAGCAGCCCCCCAAAGAAAGGGATCCGGATGGGTTTGTGTACTTACAGCCATGGTAGGATGCTGGGGACCCTCCAGACTTGCCATACTCCTGCTCTGAGTAGCTGGTGGACAGGTTGGGCTGGCTGGAGCCTCGGCCAAAGGTGATCTGGTTGCTGCCCACCCCAGTGGCCACCTGAGCCATCCTTTCTTTGGTCTTCAGGGCTTGGGCCCTCTCTGTCTTGAGGCGCTCGTCGTCCTTCAGAAGGGACACCAGCTGCTTGGACTTCTCCCTCACGTTGATGCCCTGGTCCTTCCCATCCCGATCGATGTACTGGAAATCTTTCAACGTCTGGATAGCAAAAATATTCTCTTTACATTGCTGGGCCACCCTCTCAGAGCCAGTTTTAATCAGGTAATCTAAGAGAGTCAGGGCCTTGTAGACGTGTCGCCAGTTCTTGCCGTGGTCATTGAGTCGTTTCCAGATCATGCTCATAATTTCAGAGAAGGCCACAACATTGTAGGTCAGATCTGCTATTTCAGTCATCAAGGAGCTGGAAGGACCCCAGGGGTCATTTGAGGTCGCTTCCCGAACTTTTATTTCGGCCTCTGAGTAATTGTTCACAATGTTCTTCATCTGCCGTCGGATAGACGAAGTCGTCATTTTTATTTCCCTTTTTCCCAAGACAGATCCCACAACACAAACAGCACAGGGCTAAATTTGCTCTTCCAGGAACGTTTCTGAACAGCAAAGGCTCCGGAGCAGTGGCGTGCTTGTGACACGTTCCACTACAATCATTTCCTCTCCTCAAGAGAATGACACAGGAAAATGAAAATCATGACCTGAGCGAGGAAAGAAAACAGAGCAGGTTAGTTGGCTCTGATTGTTCTGCACAGCCAGCAAGCCACACACACTCGGGAGAAATTCTCCTAGATTAATTTTTTCCTCCTCATATTTTTTCTGATTTTGAAAACAACTTGTTCTTCTCACAAGTCACATTAGACACTGAAGATTAAAAACCTGAAGTGCTGAGCAAAACAAAAGCATGAAGATAATCATGCTGATACAAAGGCAAAATCTGAAAAGCAAACCAGAAACAAAGTCCCAACCTGGAGATTTATTTTCCAATGTAAAGCCTACCTAGAACTTTAAATTACAGAGCTGATGTGAAACCACATGAGGAATTCCATGTTCAGCAGGAATCTGCACCCAGCCAGAACAAGCAAATTTCCAAAAACTCAACCAAGCCATTTCTGCAACCCTGGATATTTTAAAGCCCTTTCAGTCTCAGGACAGAGATCCTGTGGCCCAACACACTCCAACTCAAGGTGACCTTTCATGATAAGTAGATCAGAAGGACTTTTTTTGTTCCCAAATGCATTTACTTTGTTCATTTGACAACACTCAGCAGATCCACACTTTCTGCTCTGTGTCTTTCACACAGCACTGAAGAATTTTTAATTCTAAGAGAATGGAATTGTAAAGGCAAAATGCCTGGCAAGAAAAGGCAAGGACAAGGTGTGGAGCTGGAAAGCTGGGTCAGTTCTGGAGTTAAGGTCACTGCTGCAAGTAAACAGAGGCCCTTTAAGCTGTGGAATAAATGAGTGGAGCAAAGTGGCAGATTGGCCATTGCAGGGACACAGAGCAGCCCTGAGAGCACAAACACTGGGCAGGGACTGAACTGAGCTGGCCACGTTCACAGAGATGTCCTTTAATGTTCCTCCAAACACCCCAAGAACCAACCAGAGACACTGGGGACAAGGAGGGCACAGATTTCAAACCTGACGTTGTTGTAATTCTCCAAATTGCTACAGGGCCATTTCCATGCTCAGATTAAACTCCCATTTCTTGGGATACACACAGTTCTTCTCCCTGTGCATTCATTTCACCTGCCACTTTATCCCTCAGCAGGTCTCCATCTTTCACCATTCCTTTCAATTCAAGATTACATTCAAATTTGACTGATTTGCCTCAATTTAGCCATCTTATTATTCCAGGCCAATCTGCTGAAGGGAATATTTGCAAGAGCACTGATCTCTGGCAGGACACTTGGCTGGGAGAGCCAATCCTGTGAGAACCAACATTTACTCCTAACCCCATTTCCTGTCCTTTAACCCACTGCAAATCTATGAAAAACATTCCTGCCTTATGAAAGTTTTATTTCTTTCAAGGCCAGGGATGAGAGGCCTCTCCAAAATCTTTTTACAAGTACACTACAGGAGCAAGTGTCTCCTCACCTGGGTGTATCTCCTCAATCACAGACAAGTTTCTTACTTTACAACTTCACAGGCTTTTGGAAAAATCATTTTAATACCTCACATGTAAAAATCCCTGAAGAATTAACCACCCTCACAACACAACCGCTTCCCTTTTCTCTCTCTTGCACCAAATCCAGCCATTTTTACACAACAGCACAGGAAAATACTCCAAGTTTCTTAAGCTTTGCAAGTAAGAACAACCCAACCCTGGATCACTTCTGGAGTTGATTAAATGCAACACAAAGCAGTCAAGGCCTAAAAAAACACAGCAAAGAGCCTTCATTCCCTCCCATGACAGCCCACTAGGAAAGCAGGCACTTGGTTTTGGAGAAGAAACCAAAGGAAGAACTCCTTTGGAAGCTTTTCTGAGTCTGGAGCAGCACTTTGGAAAAACAATCCCAGAGCAAACACAGGAGGGAACACACTGGGTAAAGAGAAACCAGCAATTCACACACTTGCAGGAAATTCAATATTTCACTTGTTGTTCTGTAACAGACTCAAACCCATCAATCCATCAACGCTGAGGGATTCTTCACTTTCACATCTTCAGTCCTGGAAACCAAGGCCTTCCATGAGAGAAACATTAAGGGTTGTTTTTTCCTTTTCTTGATGGACATGTTTTCATCTTGCTCTACTCATAGCCCATAAAAACCAACTTATCCTAAACCTGATGGGTTTGGAATAAGTGGGATGGGTGACAGATGGGAAGGTGCTGGAGCTGCTGCACCAACGCTCAGGGCCCTGCCCTGAACTGGCACTGACCCCAGAGCTCTGCTTTGGTCCCTGCTTTACCCACTCTGCTCCCTCACCACACAATGGAAGCTTTCTCCTGCATTATTCCAAATCTTGCAGCACCACAACAACTTCTTTCATCATTAAACAGATCAAAAAGCCCAAACTTTATCATTAAACAGATCAAATACCCCAACTGCATAAAAGAGGAAGAGTTTCTATCACATTCTAACAAATTCTTACACACAAAGTTTAGATTTCTTTTTTTTTTTTTCAGTGAATTAACTTCTCACAACAAACCACAAGGAAGCACAATGCACGTGCAACTTCAGCAAAAATGTGAGTTTGCATTTTTAACAGCAGAGTTGCAAAGAAAGCAGAAAGTGAGAGCAGTTGATTAAAGCTGTTCCTGGTTAGCAGGAAAAAGGCTTGAGCAGATTTCTGTGAAAATGAAACAGTTCTGTCTTGGGGAGCCTTCCTCATTTTTGCTCTTGGTCCTTACAAGCCATTTTCTCTGATTTTGAGGTATCTGACATTTCCAAATGGCAAAGCAAAGAGATGTGCAGACGAGAGGGTGAAGCTCACCTGTGTCAGCAGGAGGGAACACTAAACTGGAGGGAAACACCCCGTGCCCTTCTCCCTATTCCAGCAGCTCCATCACACAAATCATGAATTCTCCTGGTGCTCTCCTACACACAATGTGCAGACAGAAGGAATTCTTGCCTCTCATCCTCATCTCTCTCACAAGAGATGAAGCTCAGTGCATGAAATCTGCATGAGGAAACATCTTTAACTTGCTGAGACTAACACAGAACCAAGGCCAAGCCACAAAGTCCTTCATGAACTCAGCTCAAAGCAAACAGCCCCACAAATCCACCTATAGACAGGCTTTCAGCAGAATCCATTCACACCTCTGGAATGCAAAACTCCAACCGGGATTTGTCTGCACTGATAAAATGCCCTTTGCATCAGCCTGAAGGTAAATATCTGCACAGCCCAGCTAAGCATGCACAGGAAATGCATGAAAAGCTTTTAATATCGAGCGTGGAAATTAACACTGAACATCAGGAGTTCAGCAGACATTTGCATAAAATTTTAATTAACAGTATTACAGACAACATATATCCTTAGATTAGACATTTACTGTAAGTCACATGCATCAGAAGGGAGGTTTGGAAAATAGTTATTAATTCAGTCAGTCTGTGCTCTGTATCTGCAGAACATCAATCTGCATAAAAATATCCCAGCCCTGCTGCCTCCCCTCCCAGGGGAGCACACAGAGATCTGCTCTCCCTGCTCCCATGGCACAGGCAGGAGATGCTCAGGACCTGAACCCAGGAGAAATCAGGGAATTCCTGCCCATCTGCAGAGAATCAGGCTCAGAGAAGCTGCTGCCAGGTGCTGAGTGAGGAATCTGACAGACACTGACACCACACCTGCACACACAACCCCAACCCCAACGAGAAGTCAGCTCCTATTTATGCCAAAGAAAAAGGATTCCCATTGCCTGACACTAAATTCACATGTTGCTTTTCCTGGGATAGCTCGTTGTGTGTCTAAACCCAAACCCACTGTGTTTTAGGAGTCTCATTTTCCACAACCAGCTCAGAAATCAGAAAAAAACCCAAGCACAAACCTTCATATAAAAATCAGGAATATAATGCATTAAAAAAAGCCATTTTTCTCCTACTAAATCCACACTGCTAAACAGATTTTCCAACTTTACTAATTCTCTGATTTTTTTTCTTTCTTCATAAATTATTCTCAGAGAGCAACTGGCTGACCAGAGGGTACCACTGCCCTGCCTGGGATAGAATATTCAACTGCAATCCCAAAACCAAACAGGAAAAGGGGCAACTGTGCATCGTGGCCACTGAGAGGAGAGAAGACACTTGGCACTGCCCAGAAAAGCCAACAAGCAGAACACTTATTAGCTCTCTCTTGCTATTCTACAGCAGAGAAAACAGCAATTCATGGGAATAAAACAGCAAAATGAAGAGCCTGAAATTCCCATCAATGCCCTTCCTCAAGCTTCAAAATTATTTAGGAAACGAGTTACAAATACAGATTGGCAAAGGGTTTGGAGAACAGGGTTAACTCCAGATGAAAGGTTTCAGCTCCATTTTTCACAGCTTAAATGCTTGTCTTCAGTGTAATTTCTGAGGAGAGGAAATGGTTCAAAATTCAAAGTTTTGGAAGCTTTCCACTCCCTTTTACAAATGAGAGAACAAGGTCAGCTTTCACAGACAGCAGGTGGCCAAATTATTTCTTTATTTAAAGAGTTAATGCTGAAAGATAATTCTCCTTCAAATTTATGCATATTCATGAGTGCCAAGGTTTGATTCTGCACTGGTTTTCCAGTCCTGTCTCAGCCTCACTGAGGGAAAGCAGCTCCAGCTTGAGCAGACTTTTAGCTCTAAAAGAGATTTACAGACACAAATCTGGTTCTGTTTTCCCCACAGCACCTTTTGTTACTCCTGGTCTCCTTAAATTCCCAGGATTTGAACTCCATGGGGAGCTCATTTCTCCAAGTGGATGGGAAGGGGGGTGAGGAGCAAATCCCTGACCTGCCTCACACAGCAGCACCACCTGGGCACGTCCTTTTGGGACCTGCCAACCACAGCTGCTGGGCCTTTGTCACCCCAGAT